TGTTTTGCAAATTCAGACCAGTTTTGATGACGTCATACTGTCTTCTAGATCGGGGTGTCCACACTTTTTTGACTTGGGAGCTACTTTTTGGATGACTCTAGATCGCTTTAACCAGGGTTAAACTTAAACCATTAAATATATATATTTACTCCTATGAACTGAACATATGTTATATATACCTTATCTGTGGGTCTCTAATTAATTCATGTATCTGTATGGCACAATAAGGTTTAGTACTTGCAGTATATAGTCACTACTACACAGAATACTGTATATGTATATATTTTTTTTTTCAATTGTTCATGATCTACCAGCATTCCCTTTGCGATCTACTTGTAGATTGCAATCTACCCTTTGGGCACCGCTGTTCTAGATTTTCTGTACACATTGAGAACTGGCTTTAAACATATATAGACAAAATATTAACATTATGCAGGAAAATAAGATATTAAGAATTGTAGTGACATAGTCAAAGGTGTACAGCCCTGGGGCTACCATGGCCCAGAAATACAGTGGGCTCTGAGGAAAAGATATCAACATGAGATAACTTTAAAGTATGTATGTATATTTATCTATCACTTAGTAATAAGTAGTTTATCACTAAACTGATGGACAGACAAATTTGAATTGTGTGTCTAATATGTTCTGCAGAGAAGAGAGTGGGCTGTGTGTTTACTGAACCAAAACCCCTGCATATTTTCTATTTAAGCAAATTATTTCTTTAAAAGTTTAAGACATAACCGGCCCAAGCAACAGTTCACAAGAGGCCGCTTAGGAATTTTTAGGAAAGCCGAGGATATCAGGGTTTTATTCACTGTCACACACAAACTTGGCCTGAGATGAGAAGATAACTGAGCACAAGTCACTCTGGAGACAAGTGATTAGGAATGATGTCCAAAATATGCTGCGCTAAAGAAGGAACTTTGATGATTCCCAGAGGAACCACAAGCTTGATAATGTTAATCCTCCTCTGTAAGTCGCTTTGGAAAAGTGCATGAATGTAAATGAGCGTGCATGCAAGGGTCTGTTTGAACACAAACAGAGAAATGTCCTACCTGAAGCTGAGAGTTGTGTTGTGTGATGTTGGTGTTGTAGTTCCAGCTGGCCAGGACACTCTGGAACAGTACCATTTCAGCAGTGTGGTTGTAGTCATCCAGGAACCGTAGTGCATCAAGCTTATTGTCTGTATAATTTCCTGGGACCCAGTCTTCTGGCAGAGCAGCACACAGTCCCAGAAAGGCTGGCAGCAGCAGCAGCAGCAGCAGCAGCTGAAACCTGTGCAGCCCAGTGGCCATGGTGGAGTCTCTTCAGAGGAAGGGTCGAAGAGAACAACTTGATGTGGAAGACTTGAGTCAAATAAAAAAAAAATCTTCTCCTTCTCAGCCTCTCAGCTTTGCTGCTGTTGACATCTACAGTGGCCAGAAGGCAGCTTCTTTTAAGTGCCAGTTAACCCAGCCCACACTGTTCTGCAGCCTTCCCTCTTTACCACTTTACAGCGCTGGGCAATTTACCCCCTCCATTCCACACCCTCTGCTCTCCTCTACGCTCTCTCTCTCTCTCTCTCTTTCTCTTTTCTCTATTTCTCCCTCTCTCTCTTTTCTCCCCTCCCACCCCCCCAGACAGTTTACCAGAGAAGGTTTGCCGTGGCACCTATGGTCAGATTTGATTTGCCGTGGGGAATATGACGAGGCAGCTCAGTGTCTGTCAGCCTGTCAGCTGCCTGTTGTGAGTGGTGTCTCCTCTCTGAGCAGCAGCAGAGTGGCTGTAGAAGGACTCCACATACAGTACTTTGCTCTCGGTTCCCTCCTTCAACCTAGTGACACCAATGGGAGGGGGAGTGGGAAACACAGGGGTGAAGAAAGAGCGCAAGGAGGGTGTATGGGGGAACCAGACTAAGCAATCAGAGCAGAGAAGACTGTGAGGGGTCTGCAGGAAAGAGGACAAAACAGTGGACTTGTCAGAATGAAGAAGTTGGTCAAGATGAGCTTGTAGGATATAAGAAAAGATTATTTACTGAATTTTATTTTCGTCTTTAGTTCCACATTGAAGTTTCAACTAAATAATAACAATCAACTGTTGTGGTTTTTCTTAGATTTGTGTTTTAAAATGAACAAATGGCCAGCTTGGGGCAGATTTTCTACTTGCTTATGGCTTCAAACAAGATATAAACATAATTTTCTTGGTACATTTTTGTCACAATGACTATAATAACAACCATTTGTATTGATACATTGATGTGCTCTCATCACTAGCATCAGTATAGGCAGGACTTTCTACTATGTTACTCAGCACAGCCATGGGCCCACGACATGATACGACAAGTTCTAAAACAGACTGTTAACACATCTGTTATTCCCACACTAATGTTGGACTAAGGAGTAAAGGCAGGAGTTTCACAGTTGCTCTGCACAGAAACCAGAATGACATTTCCACACAGAAAGGAACAATTGTATTTTCCCTCATTGCTTGACTCTGAGCTATTGAAATTAGCACACAAGTTTGGAAGAATGGAGTTAGTGAAATAGACAACTATAATGTGGTGTTAAGAATCTCAGACACTGAGTTGTTAGACTATTTTATTATTTACCATGAAGAACATGGATGATATTGAGATGATATTATTTCAATGATTATTTCTAGTGCAGCATCTAAGCCGTATGTGGCTGATCAGTCATTGTAATGGTCTTTGTTGTCAGTAGAGTTCAGCTGTTGTGAGGAGGAATAAATGACATGTCTTAATCTTTGTTGACATTTCCTGGAATTCTAGAGTCATTTAAGTGACTCAGATACTGCAGGTCCTGATGGAGTAGGATACAAATGCATTGCAGTTTAAACAGATTGAGCAGCAGAATAAGCTGGTGGAGGCGACTTTCCAAACCTTTAACACATTTTTAACCTTAAAAAATGTAAAATGTGAGTCTGCACCAACCTGTGAACGTAGCAGACAATGATTCATTACATTATAGAATGTAAAACTTACTGAGGTTGCTATTTGAAAAAAAAAAAAAAAAATTTCATCTAACTGATTCCATTAATTCCCATTGAATCCCACAACTAGTTTAATAACAATCCAAATCTATTTATGACTTTTCCTTCAGCTGACACTATACTATACACTTTGGTGCTTGGGTGAGTCCATGAGCAACATTTGAAGTCACGCTGTAGTTCATGAATAACAGCAGAGTTTATGGTTGACAGTGCAAAAGTAAACAGCTATCGTGGAAGAATTTAGATAAATGTGGCCAGATAAACTATCACCTGAGGTGCGGATGTAGATACAAATGTTAACTGGTTGACAAGGTAAAATACATGTGACTGTTATTGAGTTGGAAAATGTGAAGAATAAGCTACAAAAAAACTGAATATGAAACTTGTAAGTGTGAAAGAACATTGGAAACGATGAGCAGTTCTTACATCAGCAGGAGTTAATCTTTAGGTGAAGTACAATCAGAACAGATCTGTGAGTGAACAAGCTTGTAAAAAGATCTCCTTCCTCGACCAGGGGTCAAGGGTCAAATACAGTTGTAATATCGCCTGCTCTGTTGTTTATTTGTAATTTTATTTTAAGATTTGTTGTTAATCTTCACTGCCTTTGGATTGTGAGGTCTTCAGTCTTTGCAAGCAAAAAGGTCAGGACTCACTGCAGACCGGGAAATTATTAATATAGTATGTTAGTGTGATCAAAGTTTGCGGTACCAAAAAGGTATATTTTTTCTGAATTTTAACCATAAAAATGGGCATTGCTACATATTTTAAGGCAAATTAGTGCATTTTTTTTCATTTTTGAGAAACTTTTATTTTTCAAGACTTTTTTGGGAAATTATTAGTATAGTACAGGCATGGGCAAACTACAGCCCGTTTGTCTCTTTGTTTTAGTCTGGCCCGACAATCTTGTCCAAATTGTTTAACCGATAGATGGTGTAGAACAGGCTAAAAGCATTTTAGCCTTTATGCATGACTTTTACATGTAATTTATCTTTGTTTCCATAAACATGGCATCTATCAGCTCCTGAGCCGGCCTCCCTATCAAATGTTAGGATCCGTTGAGGTCCGCAAGTCAAAAAGTTTGCCCACACCTGGGTTATGATCAGGCTTGATTTAGTCGGGATGAAAGTTAGTCAGGGTTAGGTCGGGTGATGTTTAGGGCTAGTTTTAGGTTGGGATATTTAAAGCTTATGGTGAGGGAAAGTTAATCTTAACTTTATCCTGACCCTCGATTTTGTCAGTTTGTCACCAATGACTCATCGATTTTTTTTCCTACCTTTGAACTATGTCTCCAAATGCAATAAAAAGCCCC